TACGTATCCCGATTAATACATGGGTTTTTCTACGTATATGTTATAAACACTTAATAATTTTTATCTAATCTTACGTATTTTTCAAATTATAATTGATGTATATTATCTGCAAGCGTGGCCACTCGCTCGCTGCGCTGCGCTCGGACAAATTTCCGGAAACTTACCGTTCAAAAGTTATGGCAATTCAAAGTCATTACGCGTAAGTCATTAACACCACCTTAAGTAGGTTACAGGAAAAGTTATGTCGTAGTATATGGACAGTCATTACGCGTGTATCGGCACTCGTCGCTACGCTCCTCGGCGCCGTCGCTCCGCTCCGCAAATCGAAAATATCCCCCGACTTGCTATGCAACAGCAACACCACCTCAAGTATGTCACAGAGTACATAATACATAACTACATAAGTTTCTAAAAAAAAGGTATACCGAATACGTACCAAAAAATAACAAAAATGGTTCTCCGCGCATCATTATAGTAGTGTTGCGCGCATGCGTATAAACGTAAAATCGAAAACTTTGGAAGGCCATAACTTCGGAACTAAATGAGAGCGACAAATTCTGTTTGCACCATCGTTCTTAACTCGATGAGATACATAAGTTTCGATAAAAAAAATTGAAAAAATCGCTTGGCCCCTAAACTAGATTTATGCCATATTTTCTTTCTGTAATGTACCCAGAATAATGAAATCGGTGTCAACTTCGAAAAAATCATTGAAACATAATAAATATGATTCCAATAATAATAATAAAAAAATAAGTAGGAACCTTTAATTAATAATTATTAAACATATTTAAGGTATGTGGTTAATTTTAATCTAAAATGTGAAGTCGAGATTTTTTTTGTGGGAGGGAGAGAGGCGTAAAATATCGTTGCCCTAGGGCGTTATTGGTGGTTAGAGCGGCACTGATCAATGCCATAACATTGCCACAGGCCACAGAATAATTATTTAATAATAATTTATTCTGTGATATTGCCATTAGTCATCAACAAAGAAATTTTTATTGCTATACCTATATTATTGTATATTTGTGCATCGGTCACTGGCCACCACGAATTATGAGGTAGAATCCGATTGCGTACGATTGACGTTTTTGGCAGTATTGTAGCGTCTTAGGAGACAATGAGACAACGCAGTGGAGTACGCAGGATTTTTCAATGAGAGGGGGGGCTTGAAAATTGGTAATTTTTATTTTGACCAGTCTAATGATTTCAGACGTTTATTTGAGGTATTATAAATGTTTGTAACTTTTCAACTTTTCTGGTAGAAAAAATGGTCTGATCATAAGCTTCGATGATCGATGTATTTTTTTGGAAGCAAATTGTATCTAGTTGGTACTTTTAGGAGGTCGAAATTGAAAATGCTCACTGATTTTTAAAATAATAGGAGAAAAAAAATGAAAATTTATTAAAATTGTTTGGCAACCAGCTTGGTTATAGAGCCTCGCTTGGATTGTATTTGATTAATTAAATTTTTTTTTTTTCTATAAATGTCAATAAAAATATATTTATCCTGTCAACAAGCTTGAAAATGTAATAAGCAATGGTGGGCAAGTTAATGAAAATAATTAACTCAAGTTAAATTAAGTTAAGAGGATACAAGATCGATTAGTTAAAAGTTAGCAATTAACAAATTATAAATTTAACTCGATAAGTTAAAAGTTCATAGGTATAGAAAAAAATATTAACTTAACTCAGTTTAAAAAAGTTAATCTATTTTAGATTCTGAGTGAAACGATGAATGTATTGATTTTACAATGATGTGTGTTTTTTTTTTTTTTTGTGTCTGTCATCACGTTTTAGGACAGTAAAAGTGCTTGGATTTTCTTCAACAGTATCTTTTCTGACAGGAAAGTGAATCTAGTTGGTACTTTGGGGGGGGTCAAAAGTAAAAATTTTCCAGTAGTTTTCACAAGCACCGGGAAAAACAACATCAAAATTAAGGAAAAACGGGAATTTTTACCCAAAATCGGTTTTCCAAAAAATCGATTTTGATTTTTGGTGTAACTCTAAAAGAAATGAACGTATATACATGAAGTTTTCACTGGTTGTTTATATTTGCATTTTGTATACACGATAACATTTTCAAAATATTTTGATTTATTTTGAACTGTTTAGGGACATTTTCATTTTCCATCTTTTTTTATTTTTTTTTCACTCGATATTCACTCGATTTCTCATGTATACTACTCTCCAGTGAGTTGTCTGTTTCATCACTCTCAAGATAAATAATAGTATGTCAACCAATACTCCATAGTCGTCGGTACAAGATAGGTTTGGATATCTTTTGTACTTAAAACTAAAATGTCTAAGCGTTCAAGTTCTTCTTAATGGAAGCATTTTAAAAACGGAAGTTTATATCGCCACAAGGACACTTCTAATGCATTACGAAAATCTCAAAAGTTCTAAAATGTGGTCTTCAATTATATTTAAAAACATCTAAAAATCAGATATTATCGTCATCTTATAATTCGCAAATCACTTAACTCCATATTGACTAGTTTTCAGGAGAAAGGAAAAACATTTCATCGGAAAATTTCCTATCTCATCTCTCAATTCGCAAATATCCTATCTTCATAATTTTTACCATGCTAATATGGAGTTATGATTTTTTCTAATTATTAAAATCATCACATCGGAGATACGACCATTTCTAATAATCAATGTCATATGGAGGATAAAATGTTACAATTTATCAGTTACAACTTTATCATACAATGCAGTTTTTTCCTTAATTTTAATCACAATTAATTCCAAAATCACATTTTTGGAGTTAGGACAATATTGCGAATTAGGCTGATGATATGTATATTAATTTTAATAAATATTATTGTATACAAAAAATTGGGGTGTACAATTATACGCCATCGAGTCCAACATTAGAACTCGGATCACCTATATAGTATTAGTATTACAGTATAATATACCGACTCTATGTGTGGGGTGTGCGAATAACACGCCTGGAGAGTCTTCTAAGTACTACTCACGATTTTTAACAGTACCTATTAATGTTTACCTACCACTGAAGCTCAAACTTACGACGCGGTGTTTGCCGCAGAGACGTCTACATGGTTGCACACTTGCACGTTTATTTCAGTGTGTATTCGGTTATTTCCATATCACGATGCAGAAAAAATAACATTATCCGCAGGCATATAACACCGAGCTGTTTGCGAATAGGTAAATACTATAATATAATTCGTAACTAGTCGAAACGGAGAGGCGTGGACTTATATGAGTGATATATTATATTATATTATATATTATGCGCACCCGTACATGGCTCGATTTTGGGGTAGTTAAACGGAAGGTGAAGTAAATCATTTGTCAACCACTCTAGTATAGTAGTATAGATAATTTTTAATTTTTTTACTATCATGAAAATCGATGACATCCATGACAATACAATATCCACCTGCGTGACCATATAGGATTATTACATATATTTATGCAAAGCGAATGAGGTAGATATAATAGATAGGTAGGTATTAGTACATACTTTATAATAATACGTTTAATATGAGTAACATAATAGTATTAATAATATTAATTTAATTAATATAGAACAAAACAGGTGGCGAAGAGCCGACGATGGTACAGACGTACAGTGCATGAAATACGTGAGGCAAACCTACACTAACTTGGTACAAATGACAATGGAGGACATGATAAACGGTTTCAGAATAGTACCAGCGAATACAAAAGTGAGATAACGGTGGGAGAGGAGAGGATGCTTAAAAACCTTTTAAACTCTATAATATACATATTACTGGTCTATATTGTCAACAGAACCACAACAACAAAGGAACCGCCTGACAAATTTCTTGGTCTGGCGCCAAAATGAACGACGAGGACGTGTGTGTCTCGGACTTTCCGGTTTCCGTACATGACTGGTGACCTGCTGAAACTTTAGATTTGGCGTTGATCGCCACCCAATATCTGCAGCTGTCTCGCCAGCTAATTTTGGATGTATGCGGATGTTTGGCTCAGATACACAGAGCCTGCCGTCCAGAAAACCTTTGGAATCAAAATTTATCGACGATTCCGGTTTCCGTATATCGCTGGTGACCTGCTGAAACTTTAGATTTGCCGTTGATCGCCACCCAATATCTGCAGCTGTCTCGCCAGCTAATTTTGGATGTATGGGAATGTTCGGCTCAGATACACAGAACCTGCAGCCGTCCAGAAAACCCTCGGAATCACAATTTTTCGACGGTTCCGGTCTTCGTATATCATTGGTACGGTTAAACTTGAGATTTGGCGTTGATCGCCATCCAATATCTGTCGATTTGGCTGAGGAATTTTCACACATCGCAGCCATGTTAGGCATAGATACACATCTATATGACATATTTATTTGAAAATATTATATAGGCACAATTAACGGAGAAGATTATACAGAAATACGTATAGGAATGAAATTTATCCGTAATGAACACAAGAAATGAATATTGACAAGTGGTAACTATGTGACACAGATATGAATTGTAGATTTTTGAAACATTCACGTACATGGCAACGATATTTTAGTTGTTTGTGTTGTTTTCTTAGAGCCAATATTAATAATGTCAATGAAGTTGAGAATTTCATAATGCAGAGGTTCCCAAACTGTGGGTCGCGACCCAAAAGTGGGTCGCGATTATACTTTTGGTGGGTCTCGCTATTTTTTTAAATAATACAAAAATATAATCATCTATTACTTTTCGTTGATGTTCAAAGTTCAAATTCAGTTTTATCGTCAATCCTTATCTGTGAGTGTGACAATTACGAGTTTACCAGCGGCCGTGTCAAATCGACACAATCAGAAAAGAATAGTTATTGAAAATATAACGATTTACCTATCTGAAACAAATTAGTAGATACATGAATGTCGCATGACGTTCAAAACTTTTGATTATTTTCAGTAACACGCGGCACATCGAATACGATACACGTACGCAGTTTTATATTAAATAGTACTTTTTGTTTTAAATAAATTCATTTTTTTGTACTTTTGTACAACTATGGACAATTGGTTAAACAAAAAGTCAATGAGTCAAAGTCAAGAAGAAATGGAGACAATATCTGTGTCAACAGTTAAAAAAAGAAAATTAAATTACGATGAGCCTTCAACAATAAGTTCTTCGGAATTAAAACAAAAAAAAACTTGCAGAAAATATTGTCCGGAATACTTGCAAATTGGATTTACGTGGAACGGAGACGAAGAAAATCCACGACCACAATGTGTTATTTGTGGATGTATACTTGCAAATGAGAGTATGCGACCAAACAAACTACATCGACATATCGATACGAACCATCCAGAAATGAAAGATAAAATTATATACTTATTAAATTACTAATATATTATACTTATTATACTTTTTTTTCGTAATTACATAAAATTTAATAAAATAGTTTAATTTTCTGTTGTATGGTAAAAAAAAAAAAAAAAAATGTCATTCATTGATATGATATTGTGGGTCACCATATTTTAAAAAATTTTCAAAATGGGTCGTACAATAAAAAGTTTGGGAACCTCTGTCATAATGCTTTACCAAGAATTTTCGAAAACTAATTGGTTTCGTGTTGGTCAGCTTGACAATCCATCAAGGTACAAGGTAAGTAAAAATAGTTCTCATTATTTGATTAATATTAATGTATAAGACATTTTTTTTTCAGAGTCATGTTTCATAAATATTGGGTATGCCAGCACAGTAAGGTGACTTCATTAACATTATTAATATTGACTCTAAGAATCGAGGTCTTTTCATTATTAGAAACTTCATTTGATAGAACCACAATGATATTATTATTTATTAAGAACTTAATGAATTCATCAATTTTATGTCTATAAGAAAGTCAAATTAAATTTTTATGAGCGTTCGAAATTCGTAATATTTAAGTATAAACGAACAATTTCAAAATGTTTTAACTTAATGGATTTTTTTAAATCAACTGAGAAAAGCTAAGTTATTTCAATTATAAATTAAACTATTTAAGTTCATAAGATGATTAGAAAATAAACTAACTAGTTAAGTTAAAAAGTTAAAAAAAAATTAACTTTTTAACTGAACTTTAACTTTTCAACTAGTTAATGCCCACCTTTGGTAATAAGTAGGTAAGATTTTTATCATAGCTAAAATATTAATAGGCATCATGGTTATTTTTTATAATCATTGAAAGTTCAAATTTCGTCAAAACCACAGTTAATTTGTAATTAAAACTTATAAAATATTAAATTTGTATAAGCTTAGAATAGAAAATTTAATACAAGGTCTTTTATACAAGTAGTTCATACTTTTACCGAAAAACTACAGATAATTTTAGGAAAATTGGTATGCAAATACAATGTTTTTTCAAAAATTAATTAATTCTGGTAAGACGTATAAGAAAGTTACGTCTTGCTTACTATAGTTGACAGTTGAAACTTGATAAATATTTTTTTTTAAGTAATAATAATATGGGAAATGGGGGGGGGGCTTCAGCCCATTAGCCCCCCTTGTGAACGCCACTAAGATAACATCTCCTCGCTTATAAATTAGATCATGGACAAATTATAAATTATTTTATACATTCAAGCATCCAAAAGTCAACCCTCAACAGTACATGCAGTTACGTAAGTGTGTACAACAAGGCAAAACAAGTTATTAACCAAAATAAAAACCCTAAGCCCCCCCATATTTTAATATGTTATTACCTAAAAGGTACCTAAATGTTTGTTTTTACGGTGACTCGATAACTGCCTCCCAAATATACCTAGGTAACAGGTCTTTCTTTTCACTCGATTTCCTGAACTCCGAATGTTTTTGGAGGCAATGGAGTAGGTACCTACTCCCAAACGGACAACGGTCTACTCCAATTGCCTACCTTAGCTAGCGGTGGAGCCAGAAATGTTTCAGGGAGGGAGAGCAAAATTGCCTTTATATTTACTAATAATCTGCCTAAATTTTAACAAAATACGTATACTAGAATAAGGCCTATGGTTGACTACTTGACTATTGTAATCGTATTCAATAAGTTCAACATAGCGGTAATCAGTTTCGTTTGCGCAGCCAAAATTTAAATATTTAAAACTAGCAAATAAATTTAACCCTCCGAACCATTAAGGTACAAGATAACTAACTTATATTTTTGAAAGAAAAACAAAATGATATTTTATCAAAATTATTTTTATTGATTTTTAAATTTTTATTCTGACATTATTGAAATTGGGAGGTAATTTGAAAAACCTTTAAAAAAAAGTCTAATATACAAAAATAATCTCGTGTCACGGTGTTTGAGGTCTCATTACTCTGAAACGGCTCAACCGATTTTAATGACATTTTTTTGTATATTTGGTAGATATGAGAATATATTCTATAGGTCGTAAAGTATTTTACACCCTTCTAGGACCTACCCGGGGAGGTGCTCAAACGAGGATTTTGAGATTTATGGTGGACATATTTGTTTATAAATGATTGTTATATGGGTTATAGGAGAAATAATAAGTAGAAATTAGTATTTATTATTTGATTGCCACTTGCCAATGATTAATCGGGTAGATCAGGCGCAAGCATGCATCAAATTTAAATACCTAACATTTTCGCACATTGCCTACTTGATATGCTGTCACACATTTGACGTAGTCGGATTGCCTACCAGGAAGGCTGAGTTGCACCCAACAAGAGTTGAACAATCACAATTTTTTGAAAGTTGTATTTTTTTACTGGCAACAAATTGCGCGGGATCAGCTAGTATATATTATTTTATAATATTATACAATGTGTTCCTGGGGGAAGTGACAGGCCGAAGTCATATGAAAGTATACACAAAATGATGAAGAAATACCCTTTAAAGATTGGGTCTAACTTTTTTATTTTTTAGCCTTTTAGGTTATGGGCAATTAACTTTTTTTATCAAAACCAAACCCATCACACATTTTTTTATGTACCTATCTTCAAAACTATTCAACATTTTGATGTATTTTTTTTTTATCTTAAAGCTCTTGAAGTGTTCTACCAAACAACATTCGCAATTAAACCAGAAATGTGCAAATTACTTTTATTAATTTGAAAAAGTAATTATTTTTTATCAAAAATTAATATTTCTAAAAATAAATCGAGTATAACTTCAAAAACTTTAGTATTTACTATTTGTTTATTGTATACTGTATTATTCTGTAAAACGACAACACTACAACTAAAATGTACCAAAGAAAATAAAATAAAATGATTAACGACCACTACACGATTCTAAGAAAATCAAGATTGTAACGAATAACGATGACAGCGTATTATTATTCTTCAATCATGGAAGATACGAAAACCAAACTTTTAATTTATTCAAGGTATTATTCAGTACAATAGTCAACAATACAATAAAAATACTACTTCTCCTGAAACCACAGATTTCTATAAAGACATGACAAATTTAAATTGTCATGTATATAGTAGTATAATAGAAGTCTGTGCCTAGAACTACCTGTTGCATTCTTACAATCGTAAACGGCAGCGACATCTTGCGACAAAAGTAAGTTTGGTGATACTATTATAGAACGATATTATGTTGTATGGTGATACTGTATAAATATTGTAATTCCCCGTTTGTCTTGCTGTGTTGGCCACACTTAAAAATTGAAATCTATTTTGTTTTGCAATAAAAAATTATATTAATAATATCTATTTAGATTTTACTGATTTTAGACACAGTTGTTGGTCAGAATTTCCCAAGATCCGAAGTGATTTGTGTCTTATTGTTCTGAGATTTTCACAAAAGAAACTGTTCGATTAGCCAATAGCCATTACTATTATATTTTAGCTATTGATTATTTATTGTTTTTGTTACAATCAGTATTTGTATTACCGTGAAACTAATAACTTTTGCCAGTTTACATATTATCATTTTTCACTAAAAACATTGTTTTTCGTTTTGAAAAAACATGGCACCATCAGCTGCAGTGAGCAAGAGAGATGACGGCCCGTCGACATCCGAAGATTTTGATTTAGAGAAGACTGCCGAAGAGGCGAAATCTTTGATTGAGAAAATCGTCAGAGATGTTGGCAAAAAGTCTGCAACCAGACAACTGATTTTTGGTTCGGCGTCTGGATGGTACTAAATTCAAACTTTTATTTGGTTACCTATAATGTGTTGTATTTATGCATACGGTATTATTTCTAGGGCAACTGGCTTTATAATGATGAAATTGGGTAAAGCTGCTGCATTCACAGTCGGAAGTGGTATATTAGCGCTTCAACTGGCCAATTCGAGCGGTTATATAAATATTAATTGGGATAAATTGACCAGAGGTGTAGAGAGAGTGGCCGAACAAGTCGAAGGGAGTACAAGTGACAAAAAGCAAGGATTATTGAAGAAGGTAACTAATACACAATATATAATTGTGTTTTTTAAATGTATTATGTCCAAATAAATTCCCCAATTCTCGTGATTTTCTTTTCATGGCGAGATTTTTATATTTTCTATCTACTAATTGTCTTTTAGGTCAGAAACATTGTAGAGACCAACTCCATTATGGCTGCTGGATTTACGGGTGGTTTCTTCCTTGGTGTCGCCTACTCATAAACAGATTTTCTATGTGCAGCATTTAAGAATTTTTCGCATAGCATTTTAATCATCACAAGCTTATATTTAAATTTTGTAACTTTAATAAAATAATAACAATTATAAGTACAAGAAGTTAATAAATATATAGTTATCATTAGAACTTTTTTAATTGGACATAAACCATCAATTAATCATTTTTAATTTTTGTATGACATTTCCTGATATATGGACCGATTTCAGGTGGGGCGCTTTGTCGACAAGAAACTTGACAAGGCTGAGGATTTATTAAGGAAGAAAGAACGCAAAGCTAAACGTTGGTTTAACCGTATATCTGGTGATGAGGACGAGTTTGTTTTTGAAGAGATTCATGTATTCTTAGCATCTTATTTAATTGGCCTTGTTCTTGGAATTTCTTGTGGCATAGTGGCTCGCTGAAACGGTCATTGAACAATACATTTTCATGAACATACCTACATATTAAAAAAAAATCATTTAATTTTATATAATTGTTTGGATGTATATAGCAAAGCACTACTAATAATAGTTCCATATTAATTAATTTAAATAATTTGTTTATAATGAGAACAGGCGTTTGTTTTTTCATTTATTTACTAAATTTACATAATTTATAATTTATTATATTGTATAATCATCATATTATATTTAGTTAGTATTATTTTGATACTAGTCAGTTAGAAATGAGTTGTTCCATTCATTCGTGTAATGATTTGTGATCAAATAAATTATGAACTTAGGCTTTAACTGTTTAATATATTTTATTTTAATAAATCGAAATTGTCTTGGAAAATGTTTCATGTATTTACAAATATAATTTTTTTGAAATTTGTATGTTCTTATTGCACTATATTAAGTAGGTACAATTTAAAATTTGAACAATTAGTTTTTCTACAGTTAAAAATGTATACTAAGAATAATAGTCTTTAAAAATGGTTTTACAGAAATATACAATATGTGTGATATTGTGGATCTAGTGTTTATTATATTTTAATTATTTTTACAAATTATAAATATTGATAGATTAATAACTAACATTTTCATGGCTCCATAATCTTCATTTCTTCTATTAATTTGTATAGTTCTATTATCCTTAGTACACTTGTTCAAATATTGATTAGTAACATTTTTAGAATAATATTTTACAGAACTCCCTGGGCCCATTTACTTATTTCATAACAGAAGTTTGTATCTCAACATGACACTCCTTAAATATTACATACAATCTCATAAATTTGAAAATATATCCTTAAAGTATATTTAGCTTATAAGCTAAAAAAAATGTAACAGATCATGAAAATATTTAAATAATAATACTACCTACAAGTTACAACCAATTTGTATCAATAATAATATAATTAATTTCATTCCTTATATTATACACTATTTTCAAAATTAACTTTTATTTTAATTTGTAGGTGTTATTATGTCATTTGCTTATGCAATATTTGAGTATTGACAAATTGTTAATATGCCGTTTTGCCTGTAATCTGTTTAATTTTTAGACATATCTATGATCTATACTTAATATTATGAAATTGTTTATATTGTTATATTTTATCTAAAACAGTTAGCCGAAAAGGAACAACATAAGTGATATTTAAAAAAAAATTAATTAGCTCATTATTTTTATTTTTTGAAATAGCACTCTGGCGACTGGCACTCTTTGGATATTGAAACATCCCCTTTCTTATGACAGTATTTATGTAAAAATATATTTACTAAACTATGCTTCAGATTTTTTACAAAATGTCATATTATGGTTTTATTTCATATTTGATTTTTACACAAAGTTGATTTTAATTCAAGGGAATCCTTTACAGTGAATAATTACAGTGTTATGTATTATGGACTCTTAATGTAACTCAAAAACTAAACTGAAAAAAAGGAAAATTACATATTATAATAAGGTATACATTATTATTAATAATAAATAATCAATAGACAGCAGTAACAAATATTTATATGGCCAAAAAAAAATGTTTATTGTTGATATGTAATATAATTAATTTTTAATACATATAGCTATATACCGTATAGGCCATGGGGTAATAATGAGTTAGCAAATTGTGCTTGTTATATTTAAATATTGTAATAATACGGCATGCTTATAGGATTAAAATAAATAGTTTTATGTGAAATGAAATTAAAAGCAAATAGGTAGGTAACTAAAATAATCATGTACATGATTAATACATAACGTTTACACATGGAAGAGTAATTCTTTGGAATTTAACAACAATAAATCATATTAATATAGTATTATACAATTTTAAAATTGGATGTAGGTATAATATTTTAACTCTGTTAATATTAAATCCCAATTCTTAATTATCTTATATTGTTTAATAAATTATTTGGAAATTAATAAATATTAATACTATAGAATTGTGTAGATACATAAATAATTCAACTAGTAACTGGCTACTCCAATATAATACCAATATTTCAAATCTTAAAAATATTTTTAAAATGCTATAAAATTGTAAATTGGGAAATTTTTTGGCAAACCAATTTTTATTTATTTGTATTATGTTCACAAATATAGTAAATTGTTACCAATTATCTAAAAAATCAAATCCTGTCTTTGGAATATCATCGTCATCGTCATCATCATTAAGAATATTATACGTTGGATCTTGAATTGTTTGCTTAGGATTTATGACTTGCGATGGCGGTGGTGGCGGAGGAGGGCATTTAGGCTTTGTTCTATCACTTTTCACAGCTTTGTTTTTGTCTTCAGTTGGCATTAGTGATTTGAACAGAGCATTAGATTTTATTTTACTGATGAGTTTGTTGTCTTGGGGTTCTTTGGTTACTATTCGTTTCACAACTGTTGTTTTACATTCATTTGCAGTGAAGTTCTCTCGGACACTATCAATATGTTTGCACAGATCCAACTGACTTCTTGTAAACCAAGAAAATCCACCTTCAGAAATTGTTTTCTGAAAAAAATAAAATGTCTTATATCTTACAAGAAAATTTCTTCACAGTTAAAAATATAATAATAATACAAGAAAATGTATGTCATGGTATCACCTAATGTCTACCTGTCTAACCTAATCAGCATATGCTGTACTTGAATTTTTTTCAAGCATATAGAATAATGGGCAGCAGTGAATTTAACCTACATAAAATTATATATTATAAATTATAATATATGTTATACATTATAATTAAAACAATTTTTATACATTCTTTAGAAAATGTGTAGAAACATCATGGGGAAGGGGTCCCCATAACCCAAATTTTGAACTGTGGACTTTTCTCCCAAATATTTAGCATAGCATAAACTGAGCAAATTGATAAAAACACAAATTTTGATTTTTTTTCTACGTCAATAATTAGCATGAATTTGCATGAGTTATTTTGAAAACTTATACTAAAAGCCCTGATTTTTTAATGAACTATTGGAAAATGGGCCGGATTAATCTCATGCTACCCTAACTTAACCTAACCTACCCGCCTACCCATAAACCAGAGTCTGCTCCCGCCTATGCTAATAGAAAAAGAACCATTCATTTTTGATTAAATTATTCTACTGCTATAATAAATATAATAATATGCAATTGTTTATAATAGTACAAACTAAATACATATTTCTATTGAGGCTTAAAGAACTATAACAATTGTATTATAAATAAAAATAAAGTTAAAATGTTTTTATAAATAAAATATGATTTTGCTACTATCTAACATAAAAGTTTTTTGTTGCTGTACAGCTATATTTTTAGAGGAATAAATGAGTCTTCATCAAAGAATATGAATCTAGCATCGAACGCCCAGAGGCTTCTATTAGTTAGTACTTAGTTGTTTTTTTTTCATTATAGGTGATAATGTAATTTTATACATAAGAAAAGTGAACATAAAATCATAAGACCATAGAACAACTTACATCTGATTTTTTGTATTTTGAATATTTCAATACAGTTTCTGGACTGATAATTGATTCTTCCAGTATTTTGTTTTGTTCGTCAACAGTTAGCTCAAGCCATAAAGATTGATATGCATCCTTGGTAGCGTCAACATCCTTGCGTATGCGTTCCGCAATTGGATTTATTGTGTACAAATAATCATAGTAGATGTTCTGGGACTGGTTTGGAGCCATGTCTACCTATAAAACAATATTATAACAATAATTTCAGTGAATGGTTATGGTTTTGTATGTGTAAATAAACAGTAATCACATTCAGTAAATAAATAAGTAGGTAGGCTCCTTACTTGTTATGAATAATGACGATGCCTATAGAGAAGCTATAATTTTTTAGACAACACCATCAAATTAATTTTTCAACCGCTACTAAATAGACTGATTAATAGCGACGAGTTTCATGAATAATTTTTTATCACTGAGATAGGTATACAACTATACCTACTGTACATTACACATTATTAAAATATGCACTTTTGACAATGATATTATTCAACAATATACGCAATAGTCAATAACGACATCCCGACGTTGGTATTTACTCGAATTAATAGTATTTTTAAACTTTTTTATAATTATAAGATAATTCTGACATCAAATGATTCAATACTTAATATTATGCTTGATTAACTTCCTCATTCCGATAACAGTATGCGTGCACTACAATCTACAAATCATCAAGACATAAAATTGTGAACAAATTGCACTGTATTGCCTGCATTAATACAATATTATCATTTATCATGGTTCATGCTTCATGGTGTACAAGGCACAGACACTATTAGGTATAGATTATAATTTTAGTCAATGTGTATTCATTGTAGTAAAGAGTTAAGACAATATTGTAAAAATCATACTAGAGTACTTATGCACTAATAAGAAATAAGTAATAACTAAGTAATTAAACTATTTAAACTATCTACGATCTACCACTATAATTTAAATTATATAGTGTTCTCGATTCCCGACACTCGAGTAATGAATAATGACTATTATAATGAGTAAATTGAGTACCATTTGTCCATATCACAGAATTCTGTGACCATAATATTATTATCATGATAACATTTTTTTATCATGGTTATTATTATGTATTTAAGTGATAACATTTTATTTTATAACTAAGTGTAACTCGGGGACCGTTGGACTCGCTGGGAGTAGGTACCGATTTTGGAGACAATGAATTAAAAAAGTCGCAAAGGTTGTAAGACAAAAGTTTAGGATTTGTGATAAGGATTAGTGTTATGGATTGGAGATAAGGCTAGACGCTTTGGCGGGAATGTTAAGAGTTTGAGCGTCTAGAAATCCGTCACAAACGTTGTAAATGGATAGGCTGGATACGATCTCCAAGATCACCGATATAGAGTATACCTGCACATACCATGACCGGTGCTTTATCTTATGTAAAAAGTGTAAAGTCGAAAACCGTGTTGGAGTTTCTAGCAAGTCAGCCATCTCAAGTCAAAATCTATTAACTTTCAAGTTAACCACTTACGTAGGCAATCCGACTTCGTCGGATCGCGGACAATGTACTACAGCAAATCAGGTAGGCAATCCACCTGCGGTGGATTGCAGACCCGACATCAAGCGGCTATAAGTGAAAACCCTATCACACAACTTACGAAATAATTTACGGAAAATTCAAACTATATACAAATACAATATACATACAAACAAATATTATATGTATTCATTGTGTGATATAATATAACAATGAACATATTGAGAAATGTGCAATTATAATTCCTTAAAAAAATTAACATATAGGTAGATAGTTAGATATATGCTATTATATTAACCAATACAATACATATAAACATGTAACTATAGTGTATATAATATATTAATTTAAAAAAAAATGCAAAAACCGGCATGTTAAAGTGTCTATCAAGTCAATCATCACCGTTTAGGACGAAACTAAAATGAGCAATCCGTCTATCACCTATATATAGTAGGTATATCACATAGACTGGTATGTGCCTTCGCATGTCCGGTGCCTTTTCTTATGTAAAAAGTGTAAAGTCGAAAACCGTGTTGGATTGTCTAGCAAGTCAGTTATCCCAAGTCAAAATCAAGATTAACTTTCGAGCCACCTAGGTAGGCAATCCGAAATAAAATACAAACTATATTTGTATAACAATCATTTACATTTTGAAAAAATATGCAATTATAATAATTCCTAATAAAACAAATATAATATGTACCTATTTATTGTGTGATATAATATGACAATAACTTTAAATAATAATAATGTTCCTGTATTATTATTATATTATTATTTAATTTATACGAAAAATATAGTGAAAAAAAAATGCAAAAAATATCGGGATTCGGGCGGCCGTGTAAACCATATGGCAATTACGATTTCGACGCCCGGAGAGCGTACGACGGGTTCGAACCCGGGACCTAGTGTTTCCTACCTAACGCCTAACCTACTCGGACACAGTTTGAGATATGAAATACGATCAAAACATCAACTCTTAAGCCGTGCGTCTACGGTGCGACGTAAACCGATATATTCGATGATCATCGATGTAATCGCATATAATTTGCTTGTAATACTCGCATCTCCCATATATATATTTAACGGGGCGTGTGAAAAGCGTTTTCCGTTTATAATTATTAAATCATAGGAAAAAATTGAATTATACCCGTATATACATGTATATATAGGTACGCGTACGGTCGGTCCGTCGACGGCGTAATTTCTAAACGCGATTGCGAGGCGAACGAACCGATTTCGAGGGAAAAGCGCATAAAAACGGCTTTAAAAAGACGTCGACTACACGATTCGGGCACAAACGGCGTGTAATAGACGAAACGGTGGGAGAAAAGGAAAAAATCGGCAAAAAAGTCCGATCGGGAGTGTATTTTTCGATCGACATTGCGACCGCTTCGGACATTGCACGAATATAAACCGCACACCGGTGGCTTCGAATTAAGTATATAAAAGGGCGAAAATATATCGTGTAAAAACAGCTAATTTTCCGAAAATCGGCGAAATGATAGGAAAACCTGGAAAACAGGAGATACCGAAAAACGTTTTAAAACCGACCGCCGCCGCTGCGAAGGTACGCGATTGGTCGCGCTATAAGGAATCGACGGGCCATGGCCGGCGGGCTGGGGAAACGGAGCGGTGCTTCATTTTTTACTCCACGGGTTCGCTATAGCCTGTGTTTTCCGTTCCACGGGTTGCTTGCATTATCAGTCAGCTGTTCTTCATTTTATAGTATTAGACTAGCCCTTGGTCTAGCCGGGGGAGACCCCCGGACCCCCCAGTGTTTGTTTGTAAGTGAGTACCGATTTCGGAGACAATGTCGTTGGAATTATAAAAATCACAAGGGTTGTAAGTCAAAAGTTTAGGATTAGTGATATGGATTGGAGATAAGGCTTGGCGCATTGGCAGGAATATTTAAAAGTTTGATCGTCTAGCAATCCGTCACAAACATTGTAAATAGATACGATCTCCAGGATCTCTAGTCAGCTGCTTTTGGTTGTTGAAATTATTAAAAAATATCGATATGTGTATTTGATTGTCTAGCTATCAGTCATCAAATCACTTAGGTAGGTAATCCGACTGCGTCGGATCGCGGACAATATGTGAAGCGTATATTACCAGGTATGCAATCCACCTGCGATTAGTGTAATACTGTAATACCGTGCCCCGTTGTATGTCCTGTTCTGTTTTGTTGACTTTATAAGAAATTAGGAATTGCGAATAATTGTAATGGAATGTCTAGCTATCAATCGTCGCTGTATGGTAATCTATGAGTTATAGGGCATTTGTGTATGGCGGATTGGATACATAACCCGGGAACAATTGCAGTTTAGCTCCCCCGCGCTATTTTGAATTTTTTTTATCGAAACTTATGTAACTTATCGAGTTAAGAACGATGGTGCAATCAAAATTTGTCGCTCTCACTTTGTTTCGAAGTTATGGCCTTCCAAAGTTTTTAATTTTCGTTTATATATGCATGCGCGCAACACTACCTACTATATTACCGCGCGGAGGACCTCAACAGTGATTACCTACACAGTTTGCGGCACTCGTCGCTGCGCTACTGGGCGCCGTCGCTGCGCTCTGCAAATAGAAAATATCCCCCGACTTGCTATGCAACACCACCTTAAGTAGGTTACAGGGAAAGTAAAAAGTTATGTCGTAGTATATGCCGTATATGGGCAGTATTAAACAGTTTGCGGCACTCGTCGCTGGCTCCACAAATCAAAAATATCTCCCGACTTGCTATGCAATACCACCTTAAGTAGGTTACAGGGTAAGTTATTTCGTAATACAGTGTTACACAGTTTAAGTATAAAAACAAATAAAAAAGTCCTCCGGTCGCCAAACTCGAGGTCCTCGTGCGGCATTAGTAGTGTTGCGCGCATGCGTCTAAATCGTTAGCTTTGGGAGGCTATAACTTCAAAATTAAGTGAGAGCGACAAATTTTGATTGCATCATCGTTCTTAACTCGATGAGTTACATAAGTTTCGATAAAAAAAATTCAAAATGGCGAGGGGGAGCTAAATTGCAATTATGCCAATATAAAGTGTGAATTGCAGTAAATAAACTGTAATGATGTATAAGTACACGGGGTGAACAATTAAGCTTTAAATAATAAAAAAAATAGTACTCATTAGTCTATAAAACGCCAAACGTAGTAAAAAAAAAAATAGGTAGGATAAAAAAAGATAAGAAAAAAAAAAAAGAGTGTAAATTTGTATAGTAGTATACGCAATTCGTAAAAACGAATGTTTCGCACAGACGCTCGTGGAAGAAAGTCGCCCGAAGTCGGAGCGGAGAGCCGCCCAGGTCCACTGAGCTTTTCGCTGTTTACTCTGCCACCACGTGACAGCAGTATTACCAAATGTTACCTATTTAATTTTAATAAGCTTTTTGTCAATGCTCAACGATTTTGACAGACCCGCGGTGCTGGTAATAACATCGGTAAATACCATTACTAAAATGCAAGGCAAAACTAAACAGTGGAATCAATTCTATATTTATTTGCCATCGACCAGTGGAAGTGAGTACTCGTTACTTTATTATATTTTTCACTTTTTTTTTTTGTTTTTTTTTGACAACTTTACTAATGTTAATTTTTCGTTGTAGAATGTTTCATTTTAAAAATTGCAAAGTGACGGTGCAGGCTGCAACCAACCAACCACCATCTTCTGCA